CGGGCGAGGACAGCAAGCAAAAGAAGTCGCCGGAGAGAAGCGGTGCCCGTCATCCATGCTCGCCTGTTCATTTCGCAGGGGAGGATCCCTGCAGCTGCTGACCCGTCCCCCGAGGAAGTAACATGATCGGCTCCTGATATGGAAATCACGCGGAGCACGACAAATATACCGTCGCACTGCGTCCCTATCTCCGGCAGCCTTGTGAATGTGCGACGACATCGAGGCTCGGCTTCGGCTCTACCCGCTCCCCCTCCACACCCCTGCGCCTGGGGCACTACGCCCCCGGGTGCACGCCCCGCCCCACCCGCCCGGTGTTGCCTCTTCTGAGGGCGATCCTCGGCGATGGACGCTTCTTTTTGGCGGGCACCGTGCCTGCCGCGCTTGTTCTTGTTGGGGTGTTGTCCACCAAGCCCAATGGAAGAGGAGGCAACTCACCATGCTCGATGTCCCCCGGTCCGCCCCCCCCCACCCCCCGGGGCTGATGGCCCGATCTAGTGCCGAGGGAAATAGACCGCCCCCACAAGGGCTCGCAGCCTGGGGGGGGGGGGGGGGGTAAGCGCCATCCCCCGGTGGCGGCCACATTTGTGGTACTGTGTAAGTTCGGGCCGCCGACCGAGAGGGAAGGCCCCACCCCTTGGAGCACGCCTCTGCGCCCTGCCGACGCTCCGGCCTAGGGGCCCCTCCCGTGCAAGTCGGGCAGCGTGAGCACCGAGAAATATCGGCGTCCTGATCGGCCTCCCCCGGCCGGGGAGAGACCCCCAGAGCACAGATCCCTCCCCCCCCCCCCTCTCTCTCTCTCTCTCTCTCTCTCTCCCCCCTCCCACGTCCCTCCTTCGCGCTCTGCGGAAATGAGCGTCTCCCCAGCCACGCCCCGCCCCCAGCCACGTCTGGAGCCGCAGCCTCCCCGGGCGGCGGAGGGGATACAGCTTGCCTTGCCGGACATGTCGCGCTCGTGTAGCCTGTGCGAATGCTCGCCCCTTCGCGCCACAAACGCCATCCGCCTGCCTAACTCCCCTCCCTCGGTCTCTCCCCCGCGGCTTCCTTCCTGCTGCTGAGCAGGCGTGTGCCAGACCTTTTTACCCCAGGCGCCGATCTTCACAACTTGACCGCCGCCGCCGCCGCCGCCACCGACACCTCCCAGTCTAAGGCGTCCGACACTGCCAGCCCCTCCCGGTCGGAGGCTGCCACCTCGGTCTTCCAGTCTCCGGAGAAGTTGTCGCAGCTTCGCTTCAAGGTACCCTCCAGGGCTGTGGCACCCGACAGCCACACGGCATCCTCCGGCATGCTGTCTCCCCATTTTGTCGCCCCCCCCCCCCCCAGCTGACTCGGCTCTCACCCCCTCACAGCGCGCTTGGGGTCTGGTTCGCGACTCGGCCTTCCAACTCCCGGTCCAGTTCCTCCTGGTGTGGTTCACGGTCAACAGCGTGTCTCTCTTCCAAATTGTCCTCCTCATCGGCCTCCTTCGCAGTCCGATCCTCGGTGTGCTGAATGCCCCGAAGCGTGCGCCCGTCACTCCCATTGCCCGCGCCCCCCTCTCCCCCCTTCTTGCGGTCTGTGGCTGCCAGCCGGGGGACCCCCACGCCTCTGACCCCCTTCTCCTCGTCCTCCCCCTGCCCCCCCCCCCTCCCCTTCCGCCCCTTCCTGCCCTCCCCTCCCCCTGGGACGGTCCTCGCCATCCGAGCGCAGTTTTCTCAGACATCTTCCGCGCACCGACCACCCCGCAGGATACCAAGCAGGGCTCTGCCCCGGCCTCGAACGCCGCCCCGGCCCCCGTCGACAATTACCTCCTCCCACTGACGGCATACATTTTCCTGCAAATGCTCTCCCTCGGCTTCTGCCTGTTGAAGATCCACAAACTCGGGCTCCTGCCAACCAGTGCCAGCGACTGGCTGCAGGCTGCTATGCCCCTTGCCCGGACGGATGCCCTCGGGCCCCAGGGCCTTGTGTTCGGCTTCGGGGCAGGTCGCTCCTAGAGGCATGCCCCCCCCCCCCCCCCCC